TTTGTGATGGAGTCTCACCCTGTCTCCAGGCTGGAGTGCAGTGGCACCATCTTGGCTCACTGCAACCTCTGCCTCCCAGGTTCAAGTGATTCTCCTGCCTCAGCCTCCCAAGTAGCTGGGGCTACAAGCGCACACCACCACGTCCAGCTAATTTTTGTATTTTTAGTAGAGACAGGGTTTCGCTCTGTTGGCCAGGATGGTCTTGATCTCCTGACCTTGTGATCTCGGAAAGTGCTGGGATTACAGGCGTGAGCTACCGCGCCCAGCCAGCTCATAATATTTTCTATAGAACAATCAAGTTTGAGACATGCCACATGCTACATTTCCTTCTTGGAAATTTCCAAAGTCTACATGTATATGAATGACTACGCAAACTCCCGGAAAACATCCAATATTCACCTTTCACACCCTCACTGTTTGATCCATTATTTATTGATAACCTTCCACTGGCTTCCTTTATGCATTGGCTGAGCACATTGAGCTGCTGCATGGAAATGCGATCTGCTGGCTGCTGCTGGCAGTCGGGAAGGGAAGGTGGCCATGGGGAGAGCAAGCACAAGCTGTTGTCTCAAGGAGATGAAGTGGGACCCGGGGCTGTCTCTCATTAGAGCACATGGGTCTCTGGCTTTGAAGATGCCCAGGGAGTTGCTTTGGAGGTCTGTGCGGAGAGACTGGGATTGGTAAGTGGGCAAGAGGATTGGCTCTTGCTGGATGGAACTGCCTCTTCTATCTGTTCCAAGGGGACTTCCGGATTGCTGGGGCACTGGCCTGTCCTGGCTCACCCACACTTGCTGGCCAGGGTGAGTGGCCTCTCACCTGGCCTAACCTTACTGCCTGCTTTGTTTTGCCCTTTGCAGGTGAGGAAAAGAGCAGAGCCGTGGATGCCAGTGGAGCGTGGCCAGGCTGGGCAAGGACCCGCACAGAAAGGTGTGGACAGGCGTGATGGGTGGTGGGGGGGATAAGGCTGGGCCCTGTGCCGTGAGCCAGTGCCCCCGCCACGCCCTGGCCCCAGGTGCCTGCATCATCAGTGTGGGCACAGCCTGCCTCGCCAGGCCTCTCCCGACTCATGGCCCACTTTCTGCATGCTACTCCTCCCTCTCCGACCTCATGCTTAGCTCAGCTATTCTGGCTCAAAGCTTCGCCTTTCTTCCTGAACACAGTTAGGGTTCTCTCTGTTGGCCCTGGACCCCCATTCTGAACAGTTCCCATGGCGCTGGCCTTCTCCAATCCTCTGAATTAAACCCCAGACTCACCGCGAGACTTCAGCCAAGTGAAGATTCTCTGTGTGCCCTGGCACCCGGGGAAGCAGGTGTTTCCCCCTCTTCCTGTCGTGCTTTTACCGTGAGTCGGGTCCAGGTCCTCCAGCAGGGTCAGCTGGCTTCTCATCTCAGATGTGCTGTAACACGGTATCTCTGCAGCCTGGTGAAGGGGACGGTGTTTTCATGAAGTGTACACCTCTGCAGTAACTGGCCTGGCACATTTGAATAGGAACAGCAGCTTGCTTTCCATGCATTACTTCTGCTCCTCACACACACCCCTCCGCCACCCCGAAAGATAGAGCATATTGTCCTAATTTTACCAAGCAGAAAACTGGCTCCCAGACAGCAGCTTTGCCCAGCCAAGGCCCATCAGAGCACTGCCTGGGACCCGCATCTCCCGACTCCAGGGCCGGGGCACCTCGGGGCCCTCACATGGGCCTTAATAGAGGTACAGTTTATGTTCAGACCAGGCCTTGGGCCATGCAGAGTCCTCAGTCTCTCAGGACTTGCTGCATTTTCTTCTAAATGCCAATTCAAAAGTCCCTTCAGGCGTGGTGGTTCACGCCTATAATCCCAGTGAGGCTGAGGTGGGGGACTGCTTGAGGCCAGGAGTTTGAGGCCAGCCTGGGCAAGAAAGTGCAACCCCATCTCTGAAAAATAAATGAAAATTTAGGTGGCATGGGGTGCACACCTGTAGTCCCAGCTGCTCCGAAGGCTGAGGAGGGAGAATTGCTTGAGCCCAGGAGTTTGAGGCGGCAGTAAGCTGTGACTGTACCATAGCACTCCTGTGGTGATAGAGTGAGACCCTGTCTCTAAAAAACAAAAGAAGTAAAAAATGAGCTGAGCATTATGGCGCATACCTGGGAGGCTGAGGCAGGAGAATTGCTAGAGCCTGGGAGGTCGAGGCTGCAGTGAGCCGTGACTGCACCACTGCACTCCAGTCTGGGTGACAGAGTGAGACTCTGTCTCAAAAAAAAAAAAAAAAAAGTCCCTCAGTAGCCTCTGTCATGAAACTCACCTTGGTATTCGCTGTACTCAGTAACCCTGCAACAATTCCTACTGTGAACCCCATTCGCCGAATTGCTTTGGAAAGCATACACTTTCTAAATCAAAGCTGTCATGTAAATGTGAGAGTTATCCTTACCCAGGAGGTCTGGATGCGTTTCTCTCCCAGTCTGGCCTCGAATTGTTATCCTGGCAGCTTCCTTTTTCAGAATCTCCCTCTCTCCTCTCTGCCTCCACAGTCGGCCCCCACCCCGCATGTCACAGAATGTATTTGCATTCTAAGCGGCATCTCTCAAACCTCACACGTATCTTTCTCTCCCATACATATTTAAAATAATACCTTTAAGGACGTGCCAACCTAATTAAATGCTCTTGAGATGCTCACAAAATCATGGGAGTCGTCCATGGTGGCATTCCTTTTCTTTTTTCTTTTTTTTTGAGACGGAGTCTTGTTCTGTCGCCCAGGCTGGAGTGCAGTGGTGTGTTCTCGGTTCACTGCAAGCTCCACCTCCCGGGTTCAAGCAATTCTTCTGCCTTAGCCTCCTGAGTAGCTGGGATTACAGGCGGGGTGCCTGCCATCATGCCCAGCTAATTTTTGTATTTTTAGTAGAGATGGTGTTTCACCATGTTGGCCAGGCTGGTCTGGAACTCCTGACCGCAGGTGATCTGCCCGCCTCGGCCTCCCAAAGTGCTAGGATTACAGGCGTGAGCCACCGTGCCCGGCCTCATGATGCTATTTCTTAAGCAGAATTTTGTGTTCATGCCATTGAGAAAGGGCTAATAAAATATTTTGTATTTCTTTAAGACTTCGTTTAAAAAGTAGTTGTAAAAATATTTTCTCACCAGATCCTTAAACAATCTCTAAGAGGATTAGGCCGGTTGGTATTTTGCAGATGAGGAGACGGGCTCAGAGTGCGTGGGTGACTTGGAGCACCCGCAGCTGATATGGAGAGAGGTCTTGTGAGCTGGTCAGTGCACATTGTCTACACCACACTGCACTACACGTGGTGTAGACAGTGTGCACTGACCTTAGCCCAGAAGACCTCTCTCCACATCAGGATAAATGTAGCTTTTATCCAGAGGGCCTACTGATGTCCTTTTTAGTGAACCAGTGCCCTGTAATCAAAAGCAAACCTCATCCTCTGTTGGAAGTCCCACGTCCACAAATCCATTAAGAATTCTGGGCTGTGGCAGCAGTGCTGGAGCCGTGGGGAGATTCAGGCCATCACCCTGCCTCCCCTGCATCCCACCACCGACCGCCTTCCTCCTCGGACCTATTCCAACAATCTCTTAAAACGCGGTGGATTACTATGAAGTTCTAGGCGTGCAGAGACATGCCTCACCCGAGGATATTAAAGAGGCATATCGTCAACTGGCAATAAAGTGGTACCCAGATAAAAATCCTGAGAATAAAGAGACAGCAGAGAAAATTCAAACAAGTAGTGGAGGCGTATGAGGTGCTGTCAGATGCTAAGAAACAGGACATCTATGACAAATACGGCAAGGAAGGATTAAATGGTGGAGGAGGAGGTAGAAGTCATTTTGACAGTGCGTTTGAATTTGGCTTCATATCCAGTAACCCAGATGATGTCTTCAGGGATTTTTTTGTGGGAGGGGCCCATTTTCATTTGACTTCTTTGAAGACTCTTTTGAGGACTTCTTTGGGAATCAAAGGGGTCCCTGAGGAAGCAGAAGCCGAGGGACGGGGCCGTTCTTCTCCACGTTCAGTGGATTTCCATCTTTTGGAAGTACATTTCCTTCTTTTGATACAGGATTTACTTCATTTGGGTCACTGGGTCACGGAGGCCTCACTTCATTTTCTGCTGTGTCATTTGGTGGTAGTGGGATGGGCAACTTCAAATCGATATCCACTTCAACTAAAATAGTTAATGGCAGAAAAATCACTACAAAGAGAATTGTCGAGAATGGTCAAGAAAGAGTAGAAGTTGAAGACGGCCAGTTAGAGTCCTTAACGATTAATGGTAAGGAGCAGCTGCTGCACTTGGATAGCAAGTAATTCAACGCGTGCACTTAACAGAAACGTTAACTATAACAAGCACCATTTGAGGATTAACAGGAACATCTTTTTGAAGATTTCAAATGAACTCGACTTTCAGTACAATTGTACCTAAAGTATTTATAAGCAGCTCATCGGAGCCTCTATTTGTCATAGACTTTTGAGTTTATTGTTAGGACCACATAAGAGGACCATTTTTTTTGTCTTTAAAATTGTTGTAAATCTCTGTATGCACTTTGCTTTTTTATTAAATGTACTCCAAAGTGATTCTCGACTCTTTAGTGTAGGACAAGATGGTACACTAACACCAGCATGGACCTGCTTTTCATTGTGTCTGAAACGTGAGTCACGTAATGTCGGCCTACTGTGAAGTTAACATGGCCAGGACGAATCTTCTACAGAAGTAATTTCCATTTCTTTCAGTATTTAGTAGTGAAAGATATTAATGCATTAATGGTAATACATTTCTGGTTTAATATAAATTACAGGATGTTTTCTAGCTGTGCGTGAATGCTGGCAACTTAGTAAGTTTTGACAATTGTTTAAATATGTAATGTTAAGCTTAGGTTTAAAAAAGTAAAGCTGGTAAACTGGGTCTTTGTCATTTGCTTAAAAAAAAGAAAATAAATGCGAATGTGTTGGTGCATTCTTCCCAAGTGGGAAAAAAGAAAAGAATTCTGGGTTGTGCTTGCACCCTTGCCAGCTATAATGTGATGGAGACATGGCCGAAACGACCATGGGGAGAGTTTCAGTGACACCTCGTTTGTTCCCCAGAGTCTGGGATACAGAAAACACAGCCTCTTCCTTCAGCTTCTCAGTCTCCTGGGTGCGAGAGGGAGGAACATCCATTTGTAGCAGGGGTGTCCAGTGTTTTGGCTTCTTGTTACCTGGGAAGAAGAATTGGTTTGGGGCACACATAAAATACACTAACAATAGCTGATGAGCTAAAAAACGATTACAAAAGAAATCTCACGATGTATTTTTTTTTTTGAGTTTCGCTCTGTCGCCAGGCTGGAGTGCAGTGGCGCCATCTCGGCTCACCTCAACCTCCGCCTCCCAAGTTCAAGCGACTCTCCTGCCTCAGCCTTCCGAGTAGCTGGCATTACAGGCATGCGCCACCTCGCCCGGCTGACTTTTGTATTTTTAGTAGAGACAGGATTTTGCCATGTTGGCCAGGCTGGTCTCGAACTCCTGACCTCAAGTGATCTGTCCTCCTTGGCCTCCCAAAGTGCTGGGATTATAGCATGAGCAATTTCGCCCAGCCAATCTCATGATTTTTTTTTTTTTTTTTGAGACAGTCTCACTCTGTCACTCAGGCTGGAGTGCAGTGGCATGATCACAGCTCACTGCAACCTCCACCACCTGGGTTCAAGCAATGCTTGTGCCTCAGCCTCCCGAGTAGCTGGGACTACAGGTGCACGCCACTATGCCAGCTAATTTTTGTATTTTTAGCAGAGATGGGGTTTCACCATGTTGGCCAGGCTGGTCTCGAATTCCTGGTCTCAGGTGATGCGCTCGCCTCGGCCTCCCAAAGTGCTGGGATTACAGGCATGAGCCACCACACCCGGCCCAATCTCTTGATGTTTCAGGAAAGTTTACAAATTTGTGTTGGGCCACATTCAAAGCCATCCTGGGCCTCATGCAGCCCCTGGGCTGCGGGGTTGGAAAAGTTTGATTTACACCAATTGCAGGAGAACTCACTAGGCTGATGGAGTTCAGAACCCACCGTGGTCTCAAGAAAGCTTTTCATTCCTTCACTACTGCCAGATAAAAATGAGAGACTCTGAAACCAAATCTCTCTAGGCAGGGTTTGGAAACCGGTCACTTGTGAAAGGAGATACAGTCTGATAGTATATGACCTTCTGCTGGTTTTGTCCAAGTTAAGCTAGACTTTATGAGAACAAACCAGCCATGTGAGAAACTAGAGAAGAACATACCAGGAATAGAGACTGGGAAACAGGAAGCCCTGAGGAAGGAATGCACAGAGTGAGTTTCAGCAACAGAAAGAACTTCAGTGTGGCTAAAGCGGAAGTCGGCAACCTTCTTTGGTGATGGACCAGCTAGCAAGTATTTCAAGCTTGGTGGCCCATTTAGCCTTGGTTGCAACAGCTGAGCTCTAAAAAATAAGAGCTGCTTCTTTAGCCTAAAAGCAACCCCGGACAACACATAAATGAATGGGCATGGCTGTGTTGCAGCAAAACTTCATTTATCAACAATGAAATTGGAATTGCATCTCATTTTCATGTGTCACAAATATTGCTTTTCTTTTCGCTCTTTTCTAACCGTTTAAAAATATAAAAACCATTCTTGGTTCAGAGGCTGTGCAAAAACAGGCAGTAGGCTGGCTTTTGCCTGTGGGCTGTGGTGTGGAGACCTCTATGCTAAGTATAGAGAGCAGGGAAAAGAATAGTTGCAGATGAAATTAGAAAGTTAGGCAAAGGCCCCACCATATGCAGAGAGAGGTTTTGTAGGCTATTGAAGGGGGTATGAATTTTATTCTAATTTCTATGAGAAATGTGTGAAGAACTTTAGGCAAGAAAGTGACATGATATATTTGAATCACACTCTGGTACCTCTGAGCAGACTGAACTATTGGGAAAAACAAAGTAGAAGCAGAGATGTCAGCGAGGAGCCTGCTCCAGCAGACCAGGCAAAGATGGTAAAACACGACACTGGGAATTCCGTCCCCAACCTCAGAAGGAATGACCTCGGGGTGAGGGAGGATTTAAGGATGCAGGAGTGCCTGGCACGTACTTTATACTCAGAATGTCAGTGCCTTGCACTTTTTTTCCTTCCTCAGTGGACAAAGCTAAGAATACTTGGCTTTGTCCAAATCTCTAAAATGGGTTGTTCTATTTAAAACAGGTCAGATAATGTCATTAAAAGTAAGTAGACATATGTTCAAGTTCTGTTAATGACTCTGTGGCAGAATGACAGAACACAGGCACACACAGCTACACACACACACACACACACACACACACACACATATAATGGTTGATTTTAGGTATCAGTTTGAGCTAAGGAACACCTAGTACCCAGAGAGCTGGTAAAACATGACTTTTGGGTGTGTCCATGACTGTATTTTAGGAAGAGGTTAGCATTTGAGTCTGCAGGCTGGATAAAGGAGATCTCCCCTCTCCATGTGGGCAGGCTTCATCCACTCTGTTGAGTAAGTGCCAGATTATAACATAAAGGCAAAGAAAGGGTGGCTAAACATTCTCAGTTTGAATGAAAACATCCATGTTCTCCGACCCTGAGACATCAGTGCCACTGGTCCTTGGGGCTTCAGACTTGAACCAGGACTTACCTCATCAGCTCTCCTGGTTCTCACGCCCTCAGACTTGAACTGAATTATACCATTGGCTTCTGCAGCTTACACATGGTGGTGGGACTTCTTGGCCTCCATAAACGCATGAGCCAATTCCTGTAATAAACTGCTCTCTCTGTGTGTATACACAGACACACACACTTATAGATATATGGTATTAGGCTTCTCTACAGAAATATAACCAATAGTTGAAATACCCCTGAGGGTCATGGGAATCAAACCATGTCAATGCAGTCTTTTTTACATTATTGACTGAAGGAAAATGTGTGCCTTTTAATGATTTTTTAAGATTAGGGAACAAAAATAAGTCAGAAGGAGTCAAATCAGGACTGTAAGGTAGATGCCTGATGATTCCCTTTAAAGCTCTTGTGGTTGGGTGCAGTAGCTCACGCCTGTAATCCCAGCACTTTGGGAGGCCGAGGTGGGTGGATCACAAGGTCAGGAGATCAAGACCAGCCTGGCCAACATGGTGAAAACTGTGTCTCTACTAAAAATACAAAAATTAGCTGGGCGTGGTGGCATGTGCCTGTAATCCCAGCTGCTCAGGAGGCTGAGGCAGGAGAATCACTTGAACCAGGGAGTTGGAGGTTGCAGTGAGCCGAGAATGGTCCACGCACTCCAGTGTGGTGAAGAACGAGACTCCGTCTCAAAATAATAAAATAAAATAAGTAAAACTCTTGCAAAAATATCCTTGTTTGATGAGCGGAATGAGCAGGAGCATTGTCCAGGTGGAGAAGGAGTCTCCAGTGAGGCTGTCCTGGGCAATTGACTGCTAAAGCTTTGGGTGACTTCCTCAAAATACTCCCATCATAATAAGCAGGTGTTATTGTTCTTTGGGAATCCAGAAGGTCAACAAGCAGAAGGTCTAGAGCATTCCCCCAAATGATCACCTTAGCTCTTGGCCAGTCTTCTTTTGCTCTGACCGGACCACTTCCACCTCTTGGTAGCCAGGGCTTTGATTGTGCTTTGTCTTCGGGATTGTACTGGTAAAAGCCGTGTTTCCTCTCCTGTTACTATTCTTTGAAGAAATGCTTCAGAATCTTGACCCCTCTTGTTTAAAATTTTCATAGAAGGCTCTGCTCTTCTTTGCAGCTGATCTGGGTGCAACAGTTTTGGCTCTCATCAAGGGGAAAATTTGTTCAACGTAGCTTTTCAGTCAGAATTGTGTAAGCTGAACCAGTTGTGATGTCTGCAGTGGTGGCTATTGTTCTGCTGTTAATTGTCAGTCCTCTTTAATCAGGGCATGAACAAGATTTTTTTTTTCTTGAAAATGAATGTGAATGTCCTGCTGCTGTGGACTTTATCTTCAGCAGTGTCTCCTTCCTTCTTGGGGCTCCATACAGTTTTTTGGGGCTCCTGGAAGTGGCAGAGGCTGAGGCCTGGAGCCAGGCTGGGGTGGCCCTAGGAGGCACCTTACCCAGAGCAGGTGTCCTTTGGGGGCCACAGGCTGCCCACCTGCCTCAGGCCCTTGGCCACATGTCTCGTTCCTGTACTTAGTTCCCAGTAGGCTGAGAGAAGCCACACTGCTGCCTGGTGGGAGTCAGGGGAAGGGAAATCAAAAAGGTCTGAGGAAGCGCTCAGGTCTGCTGCCCACGCAGACGGCTGTGGCTGAGGGAGTGGGGCCGTGGCTGAGGGAGTGGGGCCGTGGCTGAGGGAGTGGGGCCGTG